CTTTTACGTTAAACATTCTTATTTGTATATGTTAATTCACAATTTGATTGCTGATTGATTAAATTGATTGATGACGATCGGTTGGTTGTCATGCTTTGGCGATATATTTGTTTTTTCCTACAGAACATGGCAAAAAGATGTTTTCCGCGCGGTTCAAAGCTGCACTAGGAATTTCATTCAGGAAGGCCATTCTACCTAATTTCTTTCTGTAAATGTTCTTATATTTTTCCATATCAGTTCTTATACCGTATAGCTAATATATATCCCATATATGCGTATCTCATCTACCACAAGAGATAAGGTAGAGTCAGGAAACTCAGCAAGGTTTTTGCGGGTTCAATGGCTATTTCAATTTGAAGTAAAAAAATTAGGATCTAATTCTATCGATACGTATTAAAAATGATTTGTATAAAATATTCCAAATCTCAATCTTTACTTTCTTCGCCCTAAACATCGGTATTCTATTTACCTACAAGCAAAAATCGTTTTAATATCTGCACAGACGGTCTACCTTTCATGGATTATGAGAGATAAAACTTCCTAGGCCACTGAATTAAGATGAAAATATCAGGAATACAAGAAGAGCGTCTGATCCAAATGAAAATACAATAATAAGTTTTTCTTTGGACCACCTTTTGCTTTCATTTTTCCGGCAATATTTTCAGCGTTATTAGCGTTTGAATCGTTGCAACTTTAGAACTAACCGATTGGCAATTAAGCTATGCTAGAAAGAAATAAATTTTGCGACACGTTACCTTTATACAATTTTTGGTTACATTTTGATTTAATTGTGAAAGTAGCTAACAGGAATTAGCATCAAAATATTTGAAACCTTTTAGAATTTAAAATAAAAAGTCAAAGCATATATTCATAACATGTAACGTAAATAGTGTTACAAAAAGCTCAATACAAATATAAAAAAATGTTATTGAAAATTCAAAGAAAATTTTAGTAATTCAAGGTTTAAAGATATATTCAAATAACGCGACAGTAACAAAAAATCAACGAATTCATTTAAAGTCACTTAGAAGTTAAACAGGATACATTAATGGAACACAACACATTACTGTCGGAATTGGATAAAATGGAAGACAAAATTTAAATTATAAACATTATTTATTAGTAATAATTTGCCGAAAGAAGTTAGCAAGAAAATAGAAAACGACAAAAGTAATTCATTTTTACGTGCAATAAAGTGTGGAGATAAAGTCACAGTAACGAAAACTTAGAAATGCATAAACTGCAAAACTCTAAACATCTGAGAATACTGACAAAACGATAGCAGAATAGCCAAGTAAAATGTACTAGAACAGAAATGAACCAAATGGAAATAAGTTATTGTAATGGGCAGGAAAAAGCTTTACAGAAAACAAACATGTGTTTAAAAAATAATTTATAAAATGCTAAAGTGAAAAAAATAAACTTAGATATAACAGAAGCAAACAAGACAGGAAAATGAATATTTAATACCAATGAAGAAAACATAATCATCTGGTGGGACAGTGGTGGAAAAAATGGAGCTGCTAGAGTTGAACATAAAATACGTAAAACATTGGAAAGCGGATAAAACGAAACGTCTATTTCATTTCTACTACTTGGGTTTTCTAAAATAGATTTAGCGAAAACGGATGCAATAGGAACAATCAAAGAGAGGTTTTGAAAAAGTATTCTTCGATAATAAGCTGGACAATTTTTGAAATCCTGATTAATCAGGTTTCACTTTCACTTATACTGTTCTACATATAATAATTTTTAAAATAGATAACAGAATTAACATTATAGTTGCTAAGAATAGTAAATTTTGAAATATTTTGAAAACAATTTGTAAGAAACTGATAATATTTTCTTAGAAGAAGAAGAATACTTATTATACAGAAAGGCAACTACAAGTAGCCTTTTAGTTTTTTTTGCTTAACCCTCTTATTTTACTTATGGATTCTGGTTTTATGAAGAAATTAAATTGGCTCTAAAGAAAGTACAATTCTTAAAATAAAAGCCGAAAAACAATTCTACAGATAAAAATTCAACTATGATTGAATAAGCATAATATAAGTATTTTTTGATAATTTGAAATAGAAGGGCGAGGAGTCAATAAATAAATAAACCAAATACACGAATTAATAGTATAATTTGCCAATGCAAACAAAATGAGTAGGATGTAATTAATTTTTCGATATTTTGCTTGAGATAGTCTGCACATCTACAAGTTTGCTCAAAATTAAGTGATTGGTTAAAAAATGAATCATATTTACGATCATTTTGCGCAAGTGCAGATTAAAAGTGTATCCTAATAATTTTCTATTTATTTAGCTTTAAATCACACTCTTACTTTGCATCCGGCATGTTTTGGTATCTCGACACATATGATTGATCTTCAAACTAATAGTTCCATGACTTTAGTGGTATAAATAAAAATTTCGCATTTAGTATTTTGTTTTGTTCGGTATCAGAACGGCGCAGTGAAATGCCTCATCTTCAGGTAATAGTTCGGGACCAAATTGTAATTAACTATTTAATACTATTTTTTATAAATAACTAAAATAATAAATTACATTTTTATACGTAATACTTGTAGCCACTCTTTTATATGGTGTTCCTTAGTGGCACATCTGAATGCGTATATTCTAACATACTCTTATTTTATACATACATACAACCGGGTATGCGTTAAACAGTCCTTAACTATTGTATAATATACAGGGTGTCCCACCGGGAACCACCGCGATCGATATCTGAAGTACTGCAAAAAATAAGTAGGAGAAATTTGAAAATTGGACGTTGTGCCGAAGTCATTAGGGGTAAGCGGCTGAAAATATTTTAGATCACTTGCCCACACTTACTTTGGCACACGTTCCAATTTTCAAATATCCCCTGATTATAGTTTGCCAGATATCAATCGCTGCGGTTCCCGGGGGGACACCCTGTATAGTATATTATACCTATTAAATACAAATACTTTATTGTTTTTCTAATTCTAAGATGTGCATTTAACAGAAGAAACGCAAGTAAACCATTTTGTACAATGTTGAGAAAATTATTGCAGTCAAACGTATTATGTAGCACCTACATATTGTCAGAGACACCATTGAAAGAGCTAATAATTTAATAATTCTAGGCAAGAAATCAATATAATGACGAATAAATACCGTGGATAAAAAAATTGAAATAAAAAAAAACACAAGAAAGGTAGAAAATTTCTGTTCAATGTTTAGTTTAGATATTTTTATCGTCTATTTTCTGTTTCAAATTTTGCCGAAATTTGGATCAGAGGGATGATCAAGATGTAAATCTTTTACTACTGTTAATGACACTATTTTATTTTTAATTTGATTTAATAATAGTGTGATGATTTAATTTGGAAACGTTGTCTGAATGGAAGTGAGCTTTTTGAGGTGAGGATAAGACAAAATTGTTTGAATGGAATTTCAGAAACATTCTCGATTTATTATGTATTGTTTACTTCAACATTTATGGTTGTATTAAATGCAATAATTTCCTCGACTATAGAAAAACTGTCATGGAAGTACTTATTACTTAATACTCTTAAGTGCCTCCAAATTACTGAATAAGTCTTCTATTTGTATAAAAAATGTATGTCATTCCAATCTGGTCCAAGTAAACGTAAGAGTCACAATTAGAAGATCAGTTCGAAGAAGCTCAATTGAAACTAAACATTCAATTGAATATTCCATTGAATGTTTCCCAACATATTTGATATAAATCAATATTGCTGCATGAAATAAAACAAACTAATGTTTCTACAATATATTTCCACCGTTATTGAACGAAAAGTGTTAAAGCTATTATACGAGAACAGAATATCTCACTTTAAGCTAAGCTTCCGATTATTCATGAACCGTTGAAGAGAGTCAGGAGAAATGAAAAGTAACATAGTTTGTGGTGCAAATAACACATTGCGTCAGAACAATGCTTGTATAAAAATTGGAGTCACGATTTGTTTAATTAAAACGATGCTAAATCTCTAGGAAAATATCTATCGTTTGAAGTATGAAGGTACTAACTGGAAGCTCAAACAGATTTCCTAAATGTTGTTTAATCGATCGACTAAAAGGTACATGCTGTGTTAGTACCAAATTAACTGCCAGAAGTTTTGTTTTTTTAGTGATGAACATTAAGGTAAAATCTATTTCTAGAGAAATCAGTAATTTTGCTCTTAAGTTAATTGAGTGGGAAGTTATTTGTAATTAAAAAGTTTTCAATAGAACATTTCGCTTATTGAAGTTACTTCAACAAGGATATTCAGGTATCAAATGATATTTTCATTCTATATATATATTGAACATGCAATGTTAGCTCAACCTACTGTTAAACTGATTAAAACACTGAAGTAAATGTGTAAGAGTTTCGCTATTCTACATTAATCATTAATTATTTGAATGGTTTTCGTTCAACAGCAGTTGTACACCACATGTACTACTTGCTAAAATCAAACTCAAAATATTTCAAAAAAAATGTCAAACCAAACAGTTAGCAATTAATTGGGAAAAAGAAAGACAAATCTTTAGAAATTTGTCTTACGTTTTTCAGTTTCGGTTAACCATGGAACCTTTGTACTTCTGCAAAAACGACGGAATTGCTTTTCTTAAAGTAAATTAAATAAAATAAAGTTTGTCTTATTCCAATCATAAATCACAATCGTAACCTTGTAAGTATTAAGTAGTCGTTTTTGAAGCTGATTTCAATCAACATGTAGGTATGTGATTACTGAAATTACCGTTTTTTATTAGTGTGCACTAATACAGAACCAATAAATTTTTCTATTCTACAAGTACGTTTAAATTTTCAAGGAAATGTTATCAAGTGTTCATCTATTTCCATTGTTTTCGAGTTGATTAATAACACGGCGATACGGGCTAACAAAAAATGTATCCTAAAAGTTCAGCAGGCACGGAAGAATAAGAATGCTACGCAATGCGTAGCATTTTATCTTAAAAATAATAAAAATATTGCCCACTAATAACAAGAAAATATTTTTCCAGATGTATGGCCGGTATAGCCGGCAGTTAGGAGAATTTGCCAAATTAGAAGGTTTAAAAGCTCAAGAGAAAAGAAGACTTAAAGAAGAAAAAGCTCGAAAGAAGGAACTTAGAGGATATCAAGGTAAGACATTATATTTTCACCAGTTATTACTAAATCTGAATAAAATCTATTCGTTGCATAAAAATAATATGTTTTAAGTCTGAAGCTCGTATATGCGATGCAGCATTTTTAATTAAAATGTGATTTTTTTATTAGGCTTATTTGTGCTAGGCTCTCAGTAGTAATAATTAAAATGTGTTGCGATTTACTGGGTTTTAATCGAATTAATTAAAGTAAAAACATTTTCTGGTTATGTCTGGCCAATATTTGCAGAAAAAACTCAATACTACCGGAAAATATCTAGATTAAGTATGTAGTCAGTATAAAGTGGACTTAACCGATATTTTATGCAACGGAAAAACAACAGCAATGTTTACGGAATTTAAATAACATTATGACTAATTTCTCTATATGAACTTGTAGTCATTGAGTATGATAAAATTTTGTAAACATTTTATACAAATTTTTTTGTGCATGAAGGTACACGGAACGATCGTGGAATTTCCGATAAATTACGAAATTATTGTCAGACAGGTTTTTTCTACAAAGCTCTAAGTCATTCACCGAGAAGTAAAACGAAATAAATCACTGATCGAAATTATAGAGGGTGATAAAACTTGCTAAGTTGCTACTTTTTTTGTAACTGTAGGTATAGAGTGGTTACAACAAAGAATATTTTCAAACTACTTTTTTGAAACGCTGAAAAATTATACTTCTATTTTTAGCAACGGGAGTAGTTTACGATTCTCTTCAACTTAGAGATTATGTGGTGCTCAACGCGAAGAATTTAAGCAATAAAATAAACTTGTTCAATTGAAAACCGGTAAATTGAACCTTTTTTTAATGAAACCCCATAGGATGAAATCGCAAGGACTTAAATCGGACGAGCATGGTGATCAGGGGTCTGCTTCATTTCGGTTAAGTATCAATTCGAAAAAGTATTATTCAAAAACTTCTAGATGTGCAAACATTTCTCGAAAAATCGTTCGCACCTGGCCAGTTTTATTTCTTAAGAACCAAATTTTTATGTCAAACTGAAGAATACAGGGTGGTTTGAAAAATTTACTTTACTCGCGTTTTAAATGTTTACACATAATACATAATATATTTAAATGTTTTCAAAATATTTACGATTTTCTTTTTCAAAAAAGTGAACGTATTGAAAATTATTATTTTCGATGCCCCGATTTAAATAAAAAACGTAATACTTAATATATTTTATCAAATGCTGAAAATGACTCCCACTTAAGATAATAAAATCGCATTCAATTATAATCAACCTAACGGAAGTTCATTTTTGAACGAAATCAAACCTACGGTTTTTTTTTAGTTTTCAATACTATTAGGTTTATTCTTATGGACAATACTTTTAACGTGTCCCCATAAAAAAGAATGCACGTTAGGCTATCGTCGGCCATTCTATTGATCCGCGTCTTATCGCCATCCTATCCATCAACGGATCTATTTTAAATTATTGATGTAACTTTTTTATTTTTATGATATTTGAAAACGATATTTGAATGTATTTGTTTTAATGGCTTATATACAGGGTGTTTGGTAAGTAGATGAATTCCTTGTAGAAGGTGACAGTGCACGTAATTCTGGATATATTTCTTTAATAGACCATATTCCGAAAACTCTTAGTCTCCGATCTACAGCGTGTTAAAGTATTAATTAAAAAAAATTATGTTTTTTAATTTTGCTGAAACCCCTTGGAATATTTTAATGAAATTTTATGGACTTAGGCACTTAACAGCAATATGTGTTTTGTGATAAAAATTTTGTTTCTAGATTTTCCAGTGGCGTGTGCACAGGCACGTCTGTAGGTCATTTTTAATAAAAAATGTTACGCCACTGATTTTTCTAAAAATAAATATTAGTTTTCAAGTTCTTGTTCAATTTGGAAGAGGAAAGGTCTCTTGACTTTTTTCCTACAACGCACCGTGTTTGACTAAAAAAATTAAAGTCAATTTAATGCCCGACGTAATCGGGTTTTTATTTAAAAAGTTGGCTCTTCAAAAATAATTGCTGTTATTTCGAGTGTCTGAGTAACTTCTTTTTGCGTTTTTTTTTTGTAATAAAATGCATACGATTTATTTTTGTCATAATCTAGTTTACAATTTTTGTTTTTATACTAACCCCTACTTAATTACAACCCGATTAAGCTATGCAATAAATCGATTTTAATTTATTTACTGGAAAACGGGAAGTCGTAGGAAAAAAGTCAAGCGACCTTTTCTCTTCCAAATTAAACAGGAATTTGAATCATCAGGTTTATTGCTTAAAAAATGCGTGGCGTAAAATTTTTATTATTTAAATTATTTACAGTCGTGTTTGTGCCCGTGCCACTGGAAAGGCTAGAAACAAAATTGACGTCACAAAACAGGTATTGTTTTTAAGAGCCTAAGCTTATAAAAATTTCGTTTAAATATTCTAAGCTGTTTCCGCAAAATATCTAACATTTTTTAAATTAAAACTTTATCACCCTGTAAATGGAAAACCGTAAGCGTTTTCGGAACACGGTATATTAACTAAATATACACAAATTACTTGCACTATAACTCGATGCAAGAAATGCATCTACTTATCAAACATCCTGTATATACAAAGTTAAATTCTCATATACAAATACATCCAAATACATTTCAATATACAAAGTCTATTAAGCATTGAGAATATTGAATTCTGACTACTTTATTGAAGAATGTTGGGTCTCGATTTTGGTTTAGAAGTTATAACGGTATGCCGATTCAAAAAAACAACACCCGAATTAAATGAACCAGAGTCCACATTTTCGTCTGCACAAGATAGAGATTAAGAGAATAGCAGTAGTTCATTTAGTAACTTGCATCATGTTAAAAAAATTCCTCTGTTTTGTTTCGTTACTTTAAATTGGTGATGTTTTGGTTTGCTGTTAAACGAAGAACACATTTAACTTTATGTTTGACTTTTTTGCCTTTTTTATGATGGTTTGATGAAACTCCTGATGGTTTGATGAAAGACCAAATACCTCCACTTTTCGGGGTCTAAACCTGAATTTTTAATTAATTGGCATCGAACCTGTTCTATTGACTACCTTTCCCATACTAAACCGCAATAACATCACAAGATTAGTTATTAATACATTAAACCGCCAAGCATTAAAAAATAAAATGAGAGACAAAATGAATGGGTTTTTGTCTGGAGTACCTGTCTAATGCGGACTAGAATTGGGTTTTTATCATCATAATACGGATATGAATTGGCTTTAATTTGGAATTTTTACAGTCATTAAATAATTAGTATTCCCCTCCAAGACAGAAAAATGAATGAATTCCGCATTAGGAATTTTCCACATACCAAACATATAATTTTGATTGCATGTTCATTTTGCCTAGCCGGATTAACTAATTTTTACTTAATAATGATGGTGTGCTATGGTATTAGATACGCCGACTTTAATATTCGCTCTTTCCTGTGTTAGTTTTAGTCTTTGTTAAACATATTCCAAATCGTTCCAGCGAAGAATTACAGAAGTTTCACTTCCAAACTCAGAGCTATTAGAAAATTTCCATAAATAAGTACACTAATATATTTTCATACTTTTCATTTATCTAACTTTCCTTTTTCCCTCTTCTTTGTAACGTTTTAATTAACATCGGTTTATTCAAAGCATCGTTGGTCTATGTGAAAATGGCTTTATTAATTTTTTCATTTTGTTGTTGATTCTTATGATAAGTTTTTCAATTTTACTTGGATGTTTTTGAATTAGAAAGAATGTTCTTTAGAAAAATATTGCGGTTTTCTATTAGTCTAGTTTAGATTGGCACTGCCACACAAGCTGTAGAATTTTGGACCATGAGTGTATCAGGAAATTGGAGAACTAAAAATTAGTTGCAAACTGTATCATACATTTTACCAATTTCCGAATTGCATCTAAGAAATAACCAATTATCGAACACTGATGCCTACTTTTCCTACTACAATCTACACCCGCCGTGATTGAAGCTAAGAAGAAACCAATTTTATTCGTGTGCTCAATTGAATCCTACCGGTAGAACGAATCTTCGATTTGTTTAACAATTGTTAAACAATAATATTACAAAATTAACAATTAATTAAGTAAAACATATTCAGATTTAGAAAAGTTCTTTGACCAACATAAGTTTCTCATTATATTTTTAAAAAGCCTTGACTTTTAAATATCAATAAGAAAACATTTTATTTTTTTCAAAACTGTAAACCTACGCAATTCCTTGTACTAAAACTTAAACTTTAATAATATGTTTTTTTTTTATTCCTTATTGACCGATTGAATAGTGCAATGCTATATTGTTTGCTGCATAAAATTAAACCTATTTAGCAGCAGAAAAACCTCATTTATATTGTAGATATCCTGCCGAACCTTAAAGAATTCATATTATATTTTATTAAACAACATCAGATGTCGTGCTAATTTCAAAGAGGACGACACTATGAGAACTTCAATTATAAAAAAACCGCCTTTTAATCTTTTTAACCACAAACGAGAACATGAAAAATAAGGAATGTCTTAAATTAATTACCAGGAATAGATTAATTTATCCTTCATTTGTAAGGATCTAGTCCAGTTTCAGTTTGGACATAATCGCGACCATATGCAAGAAATTCGCAAAAGTTCGCGTTCTCAAAATGAATTACAGTACGTAATAAATCAAAATCGTTTAGAGAAACCGGAAATAATTAGAGAATGTACGGAAAAAATACAAATACTACCTAAATAATAGGAAATGTGACCTGATAGTCAATATCAATAGTAAGAATTATATGTCAACAATTACTTTTGGATTTAACGTAGAAGCAAACAAATGCGAAAAGTTTATATTAGATGAATACTTCCAACTGGATAACCAGCATTAATACGAATTCCCGTAGGTAAATATGTGTTTTAAAAACTTTTAAAAGATCAGTTCGTATTTAATTTCACATCAAATTAGTTAACCGCTTTTTCGTATTAAGTGCCCTTCCAGATTAGAATTTTTAAATTTCTAATCTCAAATAGGCACGAGCTTAAGGGCAAAAGAAACAAATTACGGATTTAGTTATATCTTATTTAAACAGTATCCTGATAAAACTAATTACAAACTGTCTACTTCGCACGATTATGGAATTGTGGCTCAGTATGGCTAAAAATATTAACGAGTGATAATGCCGACCTAAGTTGTGGATTGCTGCCAAAATGTTTGAAAACGTCCGTCTGTTCCAAAATGGCATCCGTAAGTCTTTACTGAATATTAAAAACTAATAATTATAAAATTTTATTAGTATTACGACAATATTGTTAGTGCAGCGCTATTAGTACAAGCGCAAACACGATATATGTGCCATATGTTCGAAATTTTTGCTAATAATAAGCAGATCTAGATAGGAAAAGAGTAACTAACCTAACGGCAAAGAAAAACAAGATTAAGAAGAATAATCATCATCATCATCGATTTTCATATTAAAATTGAAGCCTGCAATAAGCCCTAATATGAGCATACTTGTGTCATCTGTACACCGCCCGTAATCCTCAATTTATGGACCTAAATTAAGTCACATATTTCTAATAGAAAATTCAAAATGCTTTCTTTCCCCAGTTGCGCAACTGCTTTTTTACTGATCCTTTCATTGTAACATTGTTGATGTAAAATTGTGTGTATTTCTAAAATGTTGACCAAAAACATCAAATTTTTCAAACGTTTGCATTGATTTACAATGAAAATATACTCAGCCAGTGGACTCAAAGAAGTGTTTACACGCTTGAGTCGGAATAAGTTTACTTACATTAATGAATCTTAGTCTAAAAGTGGATAGTTTGGATTGATGATTTCAAACCGCTGATTATTGTGGTAAACTGAAACCAATAATCAGGCGAGAAATTGAAAATTTAAGAAACATAAGAAAAGAAACGAGCTATAAATACATGATTGAAATGTGGGGGTCATACCCATTGCTCTATTACATGAGTTGCAGTTTATAACCCATCATCATAAGTCAATCATCAACTAAAAATCAATCAAATCCACTTAAAAACTGAAATATTCATGCAATTAATGTGCCAAAACATTCAAGAACTTATCATTTGCCCTTAGCGGATAGACGCAGTCGCTTTATAAAGTGAAGTCTTATTTAGGAATATAAGATGATCAGAACTCATTTGGCCTTCAATGTCAGAAAAGCGTGGTACTATTTTTTGGAAAAACATTAAATCATACACTCTTATGCCAAAGAATGTTGTCGGCCTTCTATTTTGTCCATTTCTCCGCCTTTCAGTTTGCTCTCTCTATAATTTCAGATTGAAGAAATTAAGCAAAATCGCATTATTTTAAGAATATGTAGCATAAGTTAGTTGTCAAAACACGTTGCATGTTAACACAAATACAAATCCCAGTTATAGTAAATTTTGTTAATTTAAAAAATAAAATGTTTATCAAAAAACGCAGATAACAGTAATTTCTCAGTAAATTGTTGTCTCATAGCCCTCGTAGTCATATCAAACTGACTACGATTTAAATATTGCTAATTTATTAAGTCAATAATGAATCATGGGCACACGCTATCACCATTTAGTACCTTAAAACAATGTTTTGACACCTTTTAGCATCTAACACTATATATTGTAATTTTGTTAAATGAACTGATTACAATAACGCCACTAGATTGGTTTTAAGCGATGACAAAAGAAGATCGTTGGTGCTGTTCAGAAGCATCTGGTCTGAGTTCTCGACATCTGAGTTAATACCACATTTTACCAAGCTTTGTTTTTTGCACGTAAAAAATAACGCGCATATTTTATTTGTTTTTTAGGCAAATTAGCAAAAAGCATCGCCTTTCTATGGAAGCATACGTTTGCGCGACTTGGCGAAGACTGGGTCTTTTTGGCCCTGTTAGGTGTGATCATGGCAGTCTTAAGCTTTATAATGGACAGCGGCATATCCATGTGTAGCTCAGGTAAGCAATTTATCTGTTTGCAATTAAATTTTATAATAAATGGAACACCAAAAGAACCAACCAATGCATTTGGAAACATGCGAAACAAAATAAATATAGATTGTTAAATCAATTTTTTCAATATTTATATTTGTTTTTTCATTCTAATACATGAAATTGAATTCATGCGGCTCTTTAACTCAATTATGACCTAAATCGCAGCCGATATTGCTCAAAATAAAATGAGTAATCATAATAATGAAAATGCTATCCAATAATCCAAATTTAGAACCGAGAAAAGCTTTTAACTTTGCAATAAATGTGGCAAAAATATAGATATCTTGGAACTAGTGTGCATCTTAGCGTGACCTATTTCCAGGAAATATCAATGAATGATCAAACCATCAAAGATAATGAACATGACACCATAAGTAACATATTTATTATCAAAGTATTGTGTATTTGTACAACTAACAATTAAGTATAATCTACTCCTGACAAGCAAGAGAAGAGAAGCATACGTCTCTCTGTCGTCTCTAGCAGAAGTCTCTACATCCACTAAAATTGAATACAGAAAACTTATAAATTTTAATATAGTCAAATTTATTACTTTTGAGCATGCAGTTCGAGCATTGGTTTACCTGCAAATAGCGACTAATTGATAAACTAAAGTTACGCCTTTTGTTCCTCGAAATTGCAACAACCCACATTTTCTGTTTCATTTGATACTAACAGCTTAACCGTGCATACAGAAGCAAATACATATTTTTTAATATCGAATAGAAATCGAAGAACAAGACGATTTAGTTTCCAGCTATGACAAATATTTAATTAATGTAAACCAATAATTAATCTGAAACACACCTGAACGAAGTTTGATGCAATAGCAAAATAGTAAATAAATTATTTTTATGACTTCGAAAAATGAACATCTGCCAGTAAACTAATAAACTTTCAATTRCTTTTTTATGAAAGCTTTAAGTAAGTAGTCKCSGAAATTATATTAATATTTATTCCATAACGAAAAGTACTTGAGATTTTTATAAATATCGTATATGGTTGTTTGATGTYTAAACTTTTATAGTGTATTCAACAATTAAAATATCAAAATTACAATTTACCCGAATATTCTAGTTACAATCGGTCAGCCAAACTAATTGTTCTCCACTATTTAAACCTGATTTAATTAGCCMAATATGMAATTTAACATATTTTTAATAAATTTTAACTGTTATATTTCATTAATCTTTTTAATTTAAAAAATTATAAAAACATACTTTTCAGCAAGACTCTGGCTATACAATGACCTTTCAAGCAATCCTGCTGCCCAATATGCATCCTGGGTAATCTTACCATTAACACTCATACTGTTCAGTACAGGATTTGTACATTTGGTAGCACCACAATCAATAGGTAAGTAAAAACAATTATTATTATTAAATTAAAATTATTAATTCTAAATTATGCATGTTACTGACTTTTTAATTTGTTACAATTTTTTGTATGTTTCATTTTGGGTTATTTACAGGTTCGGGTATTCCGGAGATGAAAACCATTTTAAGGGGAGTAGCACTAAAGGAGTATTTGACTTTTAAAACTCTTGTCGCTAAAATTATCGGATTGATGTGCACTTTAGGTACGTAGAAACTTCCTTTTTCAATTAGGTGGATAATTTTTTGCGTATTTGTGTCAAAAAATCCGCAATTCTTTGCTTTAATAACCAAACCGAAACTGATAGTGTTTGTGGATATATATGGTATTTTGTAATTATATGCAAATATTGAAGAGTGTGACTACATGAAAATTTAATGGTAGTTTTGTATTAATAAAGCCCCGAAAAGGTTACGTTTTGAAAATCCAGGGTGACTAATTTTTTTATAAATATGATATATATTAATAAACCCTTGGGTTTAAAAGAATACTAAAATATGTTTTCAAGCAAAGTAAACAATTTAATAAGCAAATTCAAGCCAACGTAGAATAAAAATGTTTACTAAGAACTTCGATATTACACATAACAGTTTGTGTTACTCACATCAGAGCTCTTTAATGGGAAATACATATATTCAAATGTGTCTCAGAATTTGTTTTGTAATATGAAATTTTTAGTTACTTTCAATTCAATAGTTACTTTGACTATAAAGTAAGTTTTCAAATTAAGAAATTTTTATAGTTGCCAATCTCTTTAATTTCCTGCGTTTAAGACATTTTGT